CTTAATTTGGAAAGGGTACTGGGGTATCTGGGACTCCCCAAAGCTGTCCCCTTTCAGTTGCATCATGCTGAGGCTCTAAAAATTAGAGAACTCAGGTAAGAGCCATTTCTGAAAACTTGGGCCAGCTTAATTTCTAAAAGCTAGTTTTTGTTTACTGTTTAGCTCAATGAGTAGACTCTAGTGCTGTTTTTGTTTCATTTTTTTTCCCCTCCATTACATGTGAATTTATTTAAATTATTTATCCACAACATTCTTTAAGGTTAGATTATTTTATTGTGGCAATTGAAGCAATCTCTGTGTAGTTGCATATTACTTTACACATCTCCCCTTGGGGCTATTCACATATCCCCACATGCATGGCTCCCACTAATACTTGTCAGTGGGACTTAACATACAAGTGCAGACATGAGAATAACCCCTTGCTGGGCACTTAACTAGATTTTATTTTAATTTTTTTTTAAAGTTGCTCACTCATGGCAAACATCGTGGTTATTGGAAATCACTGCACTTACCAGGATCAGCAAACACAACCTCCTTTTCCTTCTCACTCTTTCAAATGGGAGCTGCTTGGTGCATTTGGTGTGCTCAAGGTAAAAAGTTCACAGATAAAAAACAGGAATGCAAGGTTATGGAATAAAGTGGCTTTATTCTGCACATTGTCACTGTTTGCCATACAACTGTATACAGTTAAGCCTCTCCACTGAAGAAAGCTTTTTTTGTTTGTTTGTTTTAAAAGGTATGAATTGCAATGTGGACATTTGGGTTCTGTCTGTGGCTCCATCATAGACTTCCTGGTAGGATAGCTGGAGCTTTGCTGGTCAGTTCTTATGAGAATGAATGGAAAGCTGAGGTTTGAAAACTTGGTTTTTATTTCTGCATACCTGTTTTCTGCATCTTTAGTGGTTCTCATTACTGCGGACTCCCCTCTCCGCCAGTATTTACATGTGTGTAAGTTAAGTGATGACAGAACACTTTCCATCAAGAAGTTGAAATCTTCAATATGTTTTGTAAAACTGATGCATCTTGTACCATCTGTAATCCCCCTCCACTGCAATTCAGGGACATGCAAATGTTGAATCATCATTATTTGTTAGCCATATGAAAATAATTACTCTGATTTCAGAGTAATTAGGAACGAACATGTGCCCATATCAGAAAGAGGAAATGACCAAATCAAGATGTGGTCCGCTAGCCTCTCCAGCCAGGAGATTTTCTACCTTTAAGCCACAATTCAAGATTTTGGAGGGGTTTTGTGTTTTAAAAGTATGGTCCTTGGAGATGTTTGCTGAGTTATAATTCTGGATGCACTAGGGACCAATGAAGTAAAGCAAAGCCAAACATAGGCAGGAAGCACTGTGTTTCGATACCCAGCCACCCCGGAATGAATTTACTTATTTCAGGTCTTCACTTTCTACCTCACTCTATGATTTCAGGCTTGCTTTAATGGTATGCTAGAAGCATGAACATGCCAATAACAGAGTACTGTGATGCGACATCTAACTTTCAGAAGATCTGGCCCCATCCCAGCAGCCACCTTGTGGGCAGAACCTCAAATCACGGCAAAAGTCTGCTGAATTCAGTCCCACGGGGACTGGGACTTGCTTCTGAAGGCTAAACCACAGACAGCCCTTATGACAAAGCCAACCAGCACACTCAGCAGTTTCAGCAGGCAGTAACTCACAGTGTTATCCGTCACCCAAGGCTGACCATTCACCACCTTTAACTTTACCAGGTATGAGCCATCTGAGGACATTCTCCACACTTCATTTTTTTCGTCAGGCTGATTTCTGTTTTGGAAATTTTTTATCCATGCCAATTCATCTATCTCTAAAAAAGGCACTAGGAAAAAAAAATGTTTCAGTGTTTCTGGCAGTTTGTCCTTGAAAAGGCCTATCGACGTCACGCCTTGAAGCAATAACCAGGAGATTGGCCTACATCAGCCCTTTCTTAAGAGATGCTTTACAGTAGCCTTGAAAATCCATCAAATCTGAAAAGCCTTCACAAGTTCAGAGTTTGCACATGCTCAGTAAAAGTATTTTTTATTTTTTTTTAAGCATTAAGCTGCTAAAGTCAGTGCAGGTTTTAGAGGGAACCGGCACCATTTGGGCAGCACACAAAATCCACCTCACTGCAAGGGGGTTGTGAACCCCTGCTCTGCTGCCTGCTTTCAAACAGTTCCCAACTTTCATGTGCTCGGTCTCACATCCCCAGTGGTGTCCTGTGAGCATCCCCTCTTCACGTGCAATTGGGTGTAATTTACAAAGCAGGTAATGAGTTAAAATAACGGTGCCCTCATTGCCTAGGAGGAAGTATGTCTCTTAACTGGTACTAATGGATGGCAGCCATTAGTTACTCTTACATTAAGGTGCATTCATATTGAAATTTTACACTGGCATTACAATGCATTTGATTAAAATGCAGAAGAATTACGCATTAGATGTCATGTGGCTGGATGGAAGCATAATTTAGCTGAGTCTGCAGATGCAGTCATGCAGGTGTTTCTGTAATTCAGATTCAGTTGGTGAAACTGTTGATGTTCAGTGGCCCTCAAATCACATCACCATCTGTGGTTCAGCTCCTTCTGAAAGGAATTCCTTGTGCTTTTTATCAGATATGATCACTGGATTCCTGAGCAAAAGTTTTGTGAATCAGGCAACGCTTAAATATCAGGTGTTCTGGGGGAAGGGGAGGCACTGCAGACATCAGGTATTTCAGCTGTGCTTGTTAACTACAAGTCTAGCATAAGGAGGAGATAAAAATGGGGCTCTTTGTGGGAATATTCCCCTCCTGTCAAGGAAGCATTGTGCTTTCTTACCCAAGGAAGAGTTAAAGTTTGAATTGTGTCTGATTTGCAGATTTTGAAACTAAGCCAAGTTTGGCCTTACATATCTCTCTACAGAACAGTCCAGTATCTGAAAAAACACTCTGTGCTAGAGGTTTTAGTTAGATTTACATTTTCTACTTAAGCCCCTCACTGATAAACACCATTTTAACAGCTGCAACTCTTGCTACTTCCAGTTTTTGCAAGCTCCAAGACGATGCCAGTTACGGAGAGCTAAAGCCCAACACTCAGACGGGTCCATCACTGCCAGCAAAAGCTCCCATGTACTTGAAGACACTCATGTACACAATTTCTTTGCTAGACTGAGAACTTTTTAAAGGCAGGGAGATGTTATTGGGAGCAGAAGGCTGCAGAAACTAGGTAAGGATAGCAGGGACAGAGCTAACAGCAGCAGCGCTCCCTCCACAGCACTGCTCGCAGCGTAATGCAGGTGCTGCCCTCTCTCTGCAGGGTCCTCCAGTTCGCAGGAACATCTTTCCAGTCTGGAAACATCAAGCCCTTTCCTAGGATTTGAAGCAGGATGACATTAAGTTTTGGAAGTTCAGACTCTGTGCCGTTGGAACATGCTGCGAGGCAATCTAGCTAACGTGCAGTTGTGTCTATACAGCCTCCGAGGACTGAACATGGTTTGGAAGAAAAAAATCAAGTCAGAATCACAGATGGTTTCCTCTTTACCTCAAGGGTCATCGTGTTTACACATTTTGAAAGAGTTACTGAACTAATTTGTAAAAGACTTCTATTTTATATATTAAGGAAAAATAAAGACCTCACAAGATTTTTAGTCCATCAGCAACATATGGAAACAAGAAAAATCTGTCCCTCGGTTGCTGAAATATTTATTTATCATTGAAATCCCAGACATTTGCATTCAATGTAAGGGCAAAGCATATCTTATGTATAACCTCCTAGAGAATTTGGTTAAAAGCAGTTTTGGATACCTGTAAGTAATTATGCTATCACATTCTCTAACGGATTTAATTCAGGCCAAGTAGCAACTACTGTATGTCCAAAAGATAATGAATTAAAGCAATGCTTTGGCATATCCCCTTTCTGAAATGTTAGCAGCCTCTCAAGTGACTTGAAAAATAGGCTTCAATAAATGGACAGGAAAATATATGCAATTAAATTCAATCAATAAAGCTGTCCTTGACCAAAGTCCAAACATTAAAAACAACTCCAATTGAATTATGAGAAATCCTTTTCTGATTTTAACTAGATTAGTTTAATCACATGTGCACCAAAGTTGCGTGCCATTCCTCAGTAAGTTTATGGAAACAAAAATCAACGTACAACTGTGTCTCTTCAGCCCAACTCCAGCTTTTCCCCAAAGAGCACTGTTCTAGAAGAGTCATTTTCTTTAACAAGGTCACCCATTCAGAGGAAAATGGCAGAGCAGGGTCCCAGGTGACTGCCCTCGTTACCAGCCCTCTCTCTTTCACTTCCACAAAACTCCTCGTCCCCGCACTACAAGGGCTCTTTGTTTCTTCTGGGTGAACAACAGAAACACTGCTGAAATCCTGAAAAGCACCTCAAAATGTGAACACTCATCCAGATCCCAAGTAACTAGAAGGTTTTGATGTTTTGTTTTTTTTTTTTTTTTTTTTTTCTTTCTCTCTCATGCTTTTTTCCCCCACCACAGTGATACAGCTGAGGACAAACACAGTACTGAAATCAGAGATTCCCCAAGTTATGGCAAGAATACACATAGCTACGTGCCACAGGCATAAGTAAGCCTATAAACAGAAGTGCTTCAGAATAAAACAAAATAAAAAATACATTAAGTGTTACTAGAGGTGTTTTTTTTTTTTTTTTTTTCTCCAATAACCAAATATCACAAGAACCCTTACAAATAACCAAGCTCATAGATACTCAAAACCTCACTGAAAAAAATCTAGATAGCCTCATACCAACCAAGGTGAATTTGACGTTGTTAAATTTTGTGGAGTACCTTTTGCTGTTCCACATTACCTCAGAGAGGGACAGAAACTCCCCCCCTTCCCTTCCTCAGGGACATGGGAACAGCTGACAAATAATTTCAGGTAAGCCAGCCATCAGCTGGAAGTCATGACCCAAGTCTGTTTGCCTGCACGAGATTTGAACCAGCAACACCTGTGAGATAAGCATTGCTTGCTGAGTGCTCTGAGCTGTCCTGTACAATGTAAGTATTCTCTTAAATTCAGAGTAAAAATAGAACATTAGGTTATTCTAGAGCTGACATTTCAGCCATGAAGCACTTAAGATATGAAAAAGATGGATCTGGGGAAATAATTTGTAAGTAGCAATGTGTTTGTTGAATTTTTGCTCTTTGGGGACTTGTGGTTTTTCTGCAATTCTTTCCAAAATCAAGGGTAAATTATGATAAAATGATTTGTCTTGGATAAGGGACGGTGCCTCAGGAGCAAAGTTATTTCCTGCCCTATAGTAAAAAGAAGCATTGCAACAAGAAAGAGGGAGTAAAAGCGTTGGTGGTAATGGCTGCAAGTTACAAGACTTGTCCTGGTCTTGTTTCTTGTCCACTAATACGAGGGAGAATTCATGTAAATGGCCATGCTGACCCTTCATCTGTGACCTCTAAAGCTCCCACAGCAATGTAACTTTGAGACTCATCTACAAAAGAGACCCTTAGGCTCAGCTGAACCCCCTATTACTAAACTCAAGGCACAGCTGGTTGCAGAATGAGGAAATCCTCAGGTGGCTGCAGCAGTTGCACTGAATTTCACCATCACTTGTTTGCTGGGTCTGTGGGATGGCTCCGGAGACATTCCCATGAATGTATCCCTACAAAGGCTGTATCCCAATCTTCAGAGGGATACAGACCTGAATGAGACAAAACTTTACATAGAATAATATGGAATATTACAATAAAATAATATAATAAATACGGGCTTAGTGCTGGAGTTACAAGATGGGAAGATTTGCCCTAGTTAGGTCTCCTACTGACCCTATTTAGGCTGGATTGGCTGGTACTTCCATAACGTGTCAGGAGACCCAGCTGACTAGCAAGACACCTGAAAAAGGCAAATACCTTCCTGCTGACAGCAGAACCTCTGCCTTGGACAATCTTTCGCTGTTTGCACACACGCTGAGAGCCCAAGAAGCTCGCATTCCCTTAGCAACCAAAGTTGGCACCTGTGATATTTGTTTTCAGCGACTGACACCAAGAGTTTGAACTTACATCTGTTTTACTGAATTATGGTAAAACAGTATTAGTAGCTGCAAAAAGCGGCTCTAATTTGGACAATGCCGTCCAGATCATTTGCAGCTTGTAGTGCCTGTAATTTCACTTCACATATATATCACTTCACAGTACGGGAAATCGTATAGTAGAGGAACACAACAAGTCTTACGCAGGCTGGGTCTTGACAGCTTGACCTATTCCCAGCTATAAAACTTGCTTGTGTAGAAGTTTTCCTCCTGTCTTTTATAGTTCATTTGTGAAGGATTGTCCACCTGGTGCCTTATCACAAACTGTGGAATGAGTCCAGGAGATGGCAACAACATGAACTGCTGTGGGGGATAACAAGGACTCTGTTATGACTGGGAACGTTTGCAGTACTATAAATAACTCTATCAATATTGTGATAATGGCACTTTAAAGAGGTCTATTTTACAAGTGTTGAATGTAAGAGAGACCACAGCTGTGCTCATTAATTCTGAAGTATGCTCCTCTCTATGTACAATTTGCAGGTGTAACAATAGGAGTGTTGACTCAATGCAGGTCTAGCTAGTGTTTGGATTAAAAAAAAGGTCACAGTAGCATGATTAGTTCTTAACGAGTCTTTATTGTGTTTGGCAGAGGGAAAGCAAATGATGATAGTTTAATTGAAAACAATAAAAGTAAAATGGAACTTTGTTACAGAATTCAGCTATACGTAAATAGCTTCTCCCCCCCAAAGAGCAAGTACCGTAATTGACAGCAGTAGATCTTTTGATAATTAATTGCAGTAAATTATCACTTGGCACAAAGAAGGCATAATTCTAATTAATTTGCAACCTTTCCAGCATAACACTGAATTGAAAATGGCACTGCTGTAATTTTTTTCGAGCTAATATAGAACTGGAGTACAAACAACATTGTGATGCTTTCCCGTGTTTTCCTTGTTTGGAGTTGAACTTGGGTGATTCGGTCCCTTCCACACAATTGCTGTACTACACAGGGATGACCCAAATGAGTAGGAGTTTCCTGCACAGTCAGAATTAATCTGCCACAGCATGGGATAATATAATTATGTACAGGGATTCAGGCAGAGAACTGGTTCAGCTGGGGCTAGCCTGGGACTTCAATGCCTCGATTGAGGACAGGCAGGGCTGTGAAGAGTCCCTTTCATTGTCCTTTTAATCTTGGTTTGAAAAGAAGGTACGTGGTCAGGCCAGGCTCTTTAGGCAGAACTAAGAAGAACTGTAATACGAGTCAAATACATCACCCTCCGTCTTATTAACAATTTACAAATATATTTTCCTGATCTCTGGGAATGCAAATTCTCCTTGGCAACTGCAGGGCAGAGCTAAATGGCAGGTCCGTTTGAGGAGGTGTGATGTAGGGACGTCTTTTGAGGCAGCTAGCTAATAGCACAGAAGCTTTTAACTCTGAGGACTGCTGGGATGCAATGGCCAACAAACCCATTTTAAGCAGGATGCTTCGTGAGTGCTTAGGGATGAGATGCCATTCCTTCCTCATCATAACTAGTCTCCACGATGAGGCTCCTAGCTAATGATTTGTTAATGGAGTTAAGATCTGGGCCCCAATCTGTGACTTTGCACAACCTATAACTCTTCTGTGCCCCAAAACTTCTCAGTGTCCCTGGGAGATAATATTTACCTCCCGCGCATCAGTGTTGTGAGAATAAATTAACTTTGGGAGAGTATGTTGAGTTCCTTGGGAAACAGTTACTAAATAAGTGCAAGTATTATCATATATTAAATCAGATCAGCTATTAAAAATGAGAACAAGTCCTCAGATCCGTAACCCTCACTACATCAGTTTCTCCTTCCTTTGCTGATTACTGTTAGCCTTGATAATAATGAACTCAAAGACGATATTAGCAGCCTAACCTATACTATGATTTAATCTTGATTGCCACAGATCAAGGTTTGATTTAATTGCTCTAGAATTAATTAGGAAGAGAAACAAGTTATAAAAAAGAATTTTCACTCTAAATAAAGAAACTGTTTACATTCAATTGGAGTTCATGTTAGAACAAATCATTAAGCTATAAAGGATTACATCTAGGCTAGAATTAAAGTCAAGCCGATTCATTAACCCAAATGGTAGCCCAGAGATTACCAACATGGTATTTCTGCTTTGGTGATCAAAGGATCAAGGGATACATGACCAGATGACCCTAATTGAAGCAATCTCCATTGAATTTTGCAAATGAACTCGAAAGTACTAAGAAGATAGTCTCAAACTTCTGTCTTTGTGCAGGATAAATCTGTCCTCGTAGCCTTACTTTAGACATGCAGTAAGGGAAAGGAAAGACAAGAAAGCTAATGGCAATCCTCTATGCAGTACATAAAGTACGAATATTTTTCTTGAGTTATGGAGGACGCTTACCCGAATTGTTTATAGTTGTCTGTTACAGCTTTTGAAACATAGGGAATTTACAGTCAAAAACTTCATCCCTATTGCCCTGTCAATGACCTCATCACACCTGACCTACAGGGAGTATCTTCTGGTGGGTTAACCCGTAAATCAGCCGGCACGCAAGGCCTTTCTCTCAAAAGCTTGCCAGTAGTGCTGAATTAGGTATGATAGTTTTATTGTGTGAGCTACTGTTCACCGGGGACTGAGTGGGAACTGCTGACCGTATTTCACTTGAGAGTGCAGGATGAACTTGAGCCTTGGTCCCAGTGGTGAGAGGCCGAGTCCGTACCGCGGCGAGGCCCTGAACCTACAGGCTCGGCTCTGCAGCAGGGAGAGCTGCGGGTGCTTTGTCAAGGTAATCATCGGAAGCATGAACTTGGGTTGTGTTTCAAGTTTTAAATAAGAAAAATACACATAAATGCTGGAAAACAATAGGGGCAAGACTTTGAAAGACCGGTATAGACATTATCAAAATTCTGCATATCCCTCTGTGGAAAATTAAGAGTCACTGAGCATAGGAACTTCCTGAAGACAGAGACTATAATTCTTGTTATAAAAGGGGAGAAATTGGATGTGATAACTAGTGATGGACAAACTTCAAAAGGTTCAGGGCTTGTGCTCGGTTTGGATAACCATCCAGGAGCTTTGATGCACATCCAAAGCTTATCTGGACCTCCTGGGCCTGTAAATATTGGGATGGAAATCTTGCAAGAACAGGCTCTCTTGAGAGATTTTTCTTTTTTAGTGTTTTGGGCAAGTATTTTCTTGTCATGCTGGAAATACAACAGAAATAATAATGGCAAGAAATAAGGCCTGTTTTTAAAGAGCACTTCAAATCTAAGTCACAAATGAAAAATAAAAAAATGCTTCTCCTAAAATGCTTTAGACATCTCAAGACCTTTTTGGAGTCAAGAGGGGCAACATTTTAAAATAAAAGCAGAAAAATATTTCCCAATTTCTTCTGTATCACAATTGTGCTACCATCATTTTGAGCTGGAGGCTTTTTATTTTTTTCTTGTCTTTGTACAGTCACTTCTATGCATAACATCAAAAATGCTGTACGGATTCTGGATAAATAAGATATAGATCAAATTAGGAAGAATACTAACATCATCCAAAATGCGATTTGCATACACAGCAGTTATGTAAAGTAAAACCCAACTTCCAAATGCCAGACTTTGCACAAAACCTTGCACGTGTTTGAGAAGACTTTGTGTGTGTGTACACCCGTGTAAATTTTCTTAGTTCTCCACGGACACAAAATATGTTATAGTTGATGAAACTGTTTCATTCGGTTTTGCAGCAGAAATGATTGTGTGACTGTTTTATGCTCAATAAACCAGAGTAAAATGTTGTGGGTGATAAGGAGCCAGCTCCTGGGGTTGGTAGAAGGATTTGTCTCTCCCAGGCTGGAGGGACAGAAAGCAGGTACGCTTCTGCCAGTGGTTCTCATGGCTGGCCAGAGATGAATTAGTAGGTTCAGTTGGGTTTGTATTCAGAATTGTGACCAAACTACTGAAGACTGAGCTTTCTGTATGTTTGTATTACCTGCTTTTTAAAGACATGCTTCATTTTGGGGGTTTGAAGCAGAAGCTCAATAAAAGAGATCTGATGATTAAAATTCCACGACTGCTTCAGGTACAGATATTTCTAGGTCTGTAGGGGAGGAGGTGTCCTCTGCACTGCCTCTCAGAGGAAGGATAAAGCCAGTAACACTTTGAACTTGGTAGTTGAGGCTGATGAGAGAGGTTAGAGGAGAGGGTAACCCCCCTGGTGGCTGAGGAGGAGGAATTTATTTCCTCTAGGTAAGAGACTTGCAGGGGCAGGTGCCCTGGATGAGGTGCTGCCACTCCTTTTCCCTAAAGGCCAATTTGAAGTGATGATGGGGAGAGGGGAAGCCAGCAGGGCTTAAATTCTGCTTAACCTGGGTGTCAGCTCACTTAGGTCCTGAAAACGTGAGAGTTGGGAGCAACCACTGGTGGTCTCTGCACAGGTGAGTCCCAGCAGGCTGTGAAGGGCAGCAAGACCCGAGAGGGACTTCTTGGAAGCCCAGACTGGTCAGGGCCAAACCGACTTTTTTTCACAGCATGATAAAACTTCTAGGCTGTTGTGTGAATTTCTGTGTGTTAAGCTCTAGAGATCTGCCAAGGACAGATCTGTGGATCCCGTGGCTGACATCTCCTGACCTATAACTCAGCAGGATCCCTACACGGACACGGCGCCACTTAACCAGGGGTTACTTATTTCAAATGTTTGCTACGAAGCTGTAGTCTGCTATTTCAATCTACCTCGCATACTGAAGTCATTTCTGCCTGCGTGTCTGAGCCAGCGGGCCTGGATGAGCTCCTCTCTCAGGGCTTAATCCGGCTCCAAGTCCCTGGGAGTGTCTCTGCTGACTCCAGCGAGGCTGGATGGGTGCTGAGGGGCTGGCAAAGCACACAGAGAGCCACGTGCTGGCCTGTCCCAGTGCCTTGCCACCCTCACAGGCTCAGGGAGATGCTTGTAAGCCCCGTACGCGTAGTTTGGTCCCTTCAGAGTACCAACACCTAAACTGACTTGCAAATAAACAGCATTAAACATCCTAGCTGCGTTAGCACGGGATGTCAAGTAAATGAGGAGATACAAACCCAGCCAGTGCACGCAGCAGAAACTGCTAACCGTATTCAGGCAGCAGCAATCAGGTCTCATGCCACTGTCAGAACTAGTTAAATTATCATTGGCCGTGTCATCCTTTCTTTTTTTAGCTGCTTAGTAAGCCACATTTTGGCATCTTTCTAGTCAGATCGTTATATATTTTATCTTCAGTAGTGCGTACGTATTAATAACTCCGGGAATTAATTTGCATCTGAGGCTCCATTATTTTTATCTTGTTTGTTTCTCCTTAACCAGGTCACGAGAAATATAAATTTTAATCTCCAAATACTCCAGAACGGTACTGCAGAATTGGGCAAATCAGCTACATATTGGCATAACAACACTAAGAATAGAGATCTCTACAGAGCTTTGCAAAAAGAGACTTTTCTACAGATGGAAAAACTTAGACACAGAGTTAAAGTTAGCCCTGTAAAAAAACAGCGGAGGAAAACAAGCAGTTCAAGTGTCTGCTCATGCGCACGGGCTTGTTTCCTTGTTTTCTTTCCCAGTGTTGACCTTTGGCTGCCCCAAAGTTGTCAGAGCATCGATTAGACACTGCAGAGGAGGAAACTGGTGGTGAAGTTGGAAGATAAACCTCAAAGAGTTTCAGGCATTCAAGGGATGAGGCTGACTGAGCTGCTTAAATACTGGATGTATCCAAAATACAACCAAGGCCGTAATGGGATCAAGGTAGCAGCTCATCACTGGGGACCTTTCAGTTTCCTGCCATCCAAGACGAGGCGTGGAGCAGAAGACCACCCTCATCCTCACAGACCCCCGAGCCCAGAGGCAGATTAATGAAGAGTGAAGAAGACTTACAGAGCCAGACCGACGCAGTGTTTGTTAGTGGAGAAAGACCTTAGATGTGTATGGGTGGGTCTAGTCCCTCTTTCATCTTCCCCCACGGCAGTCACCATGTCCATGTGCTGCCTCGGGAGCCAAGGTCCAGCAAGGAGCAGAGACAACAAAGGGGGTGAAGCTGTTTGCTGCTGTTTTCAAATTCAGTACTAAATTATACTCCACGTTTTAGGTACCAAGCAGGCAATCTCAACAAAGTTCCTATCCACTTACTTAGTGTCCCTGACCTATCAGGGATGCTGGAGCTCCTTTTGCAGAGGGACCAATGCACCCACTGTGTAATTAAGGGCACCACTGAAGTTTAAAAATAATCCTATTGGTGAACATAGAGAGAGCAGAGTCAGTGGGAGGCCAAAGCATCCCAAATCCATACAGGGAACAGGCCTGCAGAGGTGCTGGCTGCATGGAGGAGGACAGGTCAGTCCCAGCGCCAACTTAGCTCTGGGCTTCTTGAAGAGCTGCAGTGGGATTTGTGAGGTGGGAGTCCCACTGTCATGCTTCATGCTGGCCACCGACAGCTGTGAAATGTTAGTTGTCTTTCAGTACGAGCCGGCGTGCAGCTGGGGAGTATTCCTTACATCTTGCTCAAAAAAATCCAAAACATCTTGGGAGAGGAATCTGCGTGCATAGCTGTGCAGGCAGGGAGGAAGGGCTCTGCTCCCTGCCCGTCCTCGGAGCAGCCACCACCCAGCGCCACCTTTCCAGGCATGGCCACCCTGTCCCAACGGGGCTGGGGCTGCCCTGTGACTCACTGGGCTGGTGGCAGTGTGATATCTTTGCCTGGCTTTGCCTGCTTTCCATTTTGAAAGGGTTTTTCTACATTATAGGTGATGACATTATGTCCTAGAGAGCCAAGAGCTGAAGGCAGATGCAGGCTGGGACTGCTAGTAGTGAAGAAAGTTCAGAATAACAGCTTTGTAGCTGCAGGCCCTGGGATTTTATACAGGGTGTTAGAAACAGTTTGAGGGAAAGAGCAAGCTTTCCTGTGTCTCAAGTGAGATGCACACCAAATATGCGGTTGCTACTACTGATTTTAGGAAGCAGGTTTTCCAAAGTGAGTGAGTTGTGTGTTCCCACATATATTATCAGCAGTTATTTTGTAATGAACTTTGTTGAAATTCCCATAAAAGGCTTACGGTAATTTTGCTACCTGGCCTCCAATGCTTCTAAGAGGAGATGTGCAGACAGAGACACAAATGATGGATGGCAAGAAGATGGAATAGGAGCCACCCAGGAACTCTGCAAAGAAACTCCCTTTAAAATTGAAGGACAATCATTTAAAAAGTATTTTAATCAGATTTTTAAAAAATGGTAATGCACATGTGCTGAGGAACTTTCAAAATCAAGCCATGTATTTTGGTAGCTACGGGAGCTTTCAGACCCCTCATCTAAAAGACCCAACCTTCATTCTGTAGGTCTGATGAGTCAATGTATTTAATCTCTAGTCATAAGGTCACTCAATTGGACTCCAGAAGACACGTAGCATTTTTTGATACACGTGGTCTATCACCATAATTGTTACTTCAACTGAATACCTTCCATTGTCATGCTGTAACAATCTGTGGGGGCTGAGGTTTTGCAGCTGGCTGCCTTGTTTGAGCTGTCTGGGGCTGGTGCAGCTGAGCTAAACCCAGGCTCTGATGTTTGTGGTGGAGGAAGAGCTCCCTGAGGAGCCCACCGATCCCCCAAAGACAGGGTAACTTAGCCCCCAAAGACAGGGCAACTCAGATTGGAAGACAGTAATGGAGATCTGCAGACAAAATGTATGTGTCTCCCACCCACCCTCAAAAAAAACCAACAAACAAACAAATAATCAAAAATGCACCATAAACCTAAACTCCTGCTCTGAATGGATTGCTTCAGGTGCTGAGGTAACGCCAGGTGACCGGATTGTACCCCAAGGGAGCAGTCCCATGATGGCAAGGTGAATCTCTTCTTGGAAGTGCCTCTCTCTTCCTTGACTGCCAGGGAATCCTAATAACTTGTTTAGAATAGACACCTAGTTTTTAGACAGTTTTTTTTTTGGATTAACTGAGGTGAATCCACCCTTCATGCCCAGATGTGGGACATACTGGTTTTGGTAGTTACGGCATGTCTGATGTCAAGACCTTTGTGGAGATTTAGGAATCGTGTCGATTCACAGTCCAATAATTAAAGGGATTGAAACTCCTAGGATCTGGATGCTGCTTCTCATACCCTTGTCCTACGAACCTTGGAGAAATCACCCTGGGCAGGATTTTTAAAGATACGAAATCCTATTGGTTTCAGGTGATTTGCCAAGCTTGCGGTCAATGAGAGGCACACAAGCGCTGCTGGGATCCTTGCCCTTAAATCTCCTTGTTTGCAGGGCAGGATAACGCCTACCTGCCAGGCAGGATTACTGCCTGCAGCACTTTGGGATCGCTGGGTGCCTGGTGCCGCCGGTGAAAAGTGCAAGCTTCAGATTGTCTTGCACATGGCGTGCTGCAGACAGCACAGCCGCCGGGCCCCGCGGCGCTGAGCACCGCCGCAACCGACCTCGCATTTCTGTGACAAAATTTATAGCACAAACCGATCTGTGAGAGCGGCTGCTCCCTCCCTCCCGGCTTCTTTGCTTCGGGGTGCTGCGACTCAGAGGCTGGAATAAAGGAGCAGCATCAGGGTAGAAAGCTTGGGTTTGGGTCTGCACCGAAACCTTTGCTTTATTCCTTAAATTGCGGCTTCTGAAGAGAAAAATGGTCTGTTCTGCCCGGACTGCTGGAGTCAGACGCACATGGATGCGTTGCTCCCAGTCAGTTGCCCATCTCTCCCAGTAGATGATGCTAAAGCGCGATTGTTTTGAGCAGTTTTGAGGGAGTGGAAGAGTTCGTGGGGAAACCCGATGTGGTGGGAAGGCTCCCGGGGCTCGGTGCCGCAACGTGCAGCAGGTACCCTGAAAAACCTGGAGTCCAATCTGCTCCCGTTGTATTTACAGCAGCTGCAAGAGTAATGGGGTTAGACCTTCCGCAGGTTTTTATGATTTTCAGGCAGACGGTTTTGCAGCAGACTGACGTGTTTACGTGCTTTTCAGCAGACTGACGTGTTTACATGCCTCGGTGTTTCTGCACTTAGGCAGCTAAAACACAATACCAGCATCACGCTGCCTCGTCATGCCATTCCTTCACTCTTGTCATTAAGCTCTGCTTAAACGAGAGAGATTTGTTGGGACTTTGCTAAGTTTGAGCTTCAGTGTGGTTTCCCCCCCTTTCTTTCCCTAACATATTACTAACTGCTGCTCGTTGCAGTCAGACCCACTCAGGGCAAATCGTTTTGAAGCTAATATTCAACAAGGGCTGTAGCTTTCTGGTTGCTTTTGAAACGTGCACTGACATTTATTACCAGAAACGAGGCAGCGTTTTGCCTGTAGATGCTGCCAAAGTTCAGATATGTTTGAGCTCGGGCTGCTCTCTGGAGCCAGGAGAGGAAGTGGTTCTGGAGTGGGAAATACAGGCTCAGATATACATTTCCCTGGAATTTAGGAAAATTAGAGGGAGTTTGGCCTTGTCTTTACTTCCATTAGGGCTTTTTTGAGTACTTCTAGGGCAGGCAATATAATTCACTCTGAAATGAAGTTTTAAAGTTCAAAGATTCATCTGGAAGTTATTAATAAAAACAATAAAAATATAAACTTAAACCCAGTACATTTTAGCGAGGAGAAATTGTCTGTATTTTTTTTTCAGTTGGATACTTCTGCATTTCTATAGCTGAAAAATATATTATTTTCCTTTTAGGAAAAAAAAAAAAAGGCAAGTTATTAGTCTCTTTACGAGACTTCTGAGGTCTGCAGTAAAGATGTGCACATCCACCCCTTGGTTCTCCATGTCCAAGCTGTCTTCCACTCTCTGAGTTAGGAAACAAAAACAAGGTCCCTGTCCTCACAGACAACTTAGAACAAAGCATATTTTGGGAAAAGGATGTACAAAACAATGAAACAATCCAACGTGGGACCCATACAGATACGTGGAGGGGCTCAGAGAAGGAGTCTGTCGATTCCTCAAGTGCCTGCTCTGCTGGACCATTATTTCTTCTATATTAATACACTCATCAATTATACACCAGGGCTACGTGACGTAGCCCCCCTCCCCTTCCTACATTCCTGTATGCTAACATAAGGCACGCTGTCAGAGGTTCAGCACCGATGTTGCCTTGTCCCTGACTGATACGCTCCACTGGGTCAGGAGTATGTCCCGGGACAGTCAGGAATGCAGCAAGATATATGGGCAGGTTTTTTTCTTCAAAGCTCTTGGACGAGAATCAAATTGCCTGAAGGAAACTTTTAAGAGCCTTTTTTTGTCTCTTTTAAGAAAAGAGATAACTGCAAGTACAGTGGGTAATATTTGCACTATCTTGCCACTGCCTGTATTTGGTTTTCTTGGAGATGTACTGCCTATTCAGCACATGCTGCAAGCAGCCACTGCAGAGATGTTTTGTATTCCCCGCTCATTCACACCACACTGGGCTTTCTCCTTCACTCACTTTGGAAAAAGGTTTATCACTGGGAGTGGGACAGATGGAAGTAAGTCCTACAAAAGGCAACGAGTAGGGTGAACTTGGTTGTATGTGGGCCTTAGGGTGACAGATGAGGTGGAGACCAACTGATGTGGCTGTGGGGCAGGGAAGTTTGCTGATGGCAAACTGTATGGGAGCTGGAAAACAGCCTGGTGGGCTCTTGGACCTACTTCTGAACTAAAAGAGTAGTACTGTCCTCCTGGGATTTCGTCATTAGGCAGATGATGGCAAGGTATCCTTAGGCAGAATGGATGGCAAAGGTGAGATTTGTGGAGAAACTCCAGGAGAAGGTTCAAGAATTACATCAACGGGAGATGAATGTGAAGGACAGCATGAGAAACCTGGCACTGTTGTGCTCTTTCTACCCCAAGTCAGGCAAAATATGAAACTCAGTATGTAGGAGCAAAACGGGATGTTTCTCAGTTGTCAGTGAGTCCCAGTATCTTCTAGAAGTGGGGTTGTTATTTAAAAAAGGACGGCAAGAGCTTACTTCGCTTTGGACTTCTTCACTGTTCGATGAGAGTACTCAGAAAAGGAGGATAAATAGGGCTGATGAAGGCTGTAAAGCAGCTAAAAGCAATCACCGAATGAATTACTTCAGAGCTGTATGCTGTTATTAGAATAAGTGTAAGGTACTATCCTTTTAAAAATGGCCAAAGAAAATAAAATGGGATCCTCCAGGCAATAGTATTCTGACCTCACCAAATGCCGTTGTCTAATTTAGACTGCATTAGCAATTGCGTTCCTCACAAAATCCTGGGTAGGAGAAGGGAAAGGATTTATAGATAGCATTATGTCCTAAAGAGATTCATACAATGAAATTATAAAATGCATTTAAAAATACATAATTAGCACTTTTCATCCATAAATTTCCAAAGTGATATTTTTAAAAGGAGGACATTATCTAACTCCATGTGGACTAAATAACTTTAAATCAAACGAGACGATTTATGTGTTTGAGAGATGTTTATATTTGAAATAAGAGCATCATTTAACATCTCTTCGCCCTTCTCTCATGCTGATTTATCTCCCATATTTCTGGAGGTCACTCTTATTGGTAGAAGTCAGCATTTGTTGTGTTTTGCAATGCAAAAATTCTTTTCATTCCCTAACACTAGAACAATATTTCATTGAATTGCTCTGGTTTATTAGACTAGTTGCACAGATGTCCTCTCTTCCTGAGCCAGATGTAGGGAGCGCTGCTTCCAGCTTAGCCCAAACTGGAACATGTTGACAGAATAACATAACTGAGACCAGACATATTGCATTTTACACTAAAGGTCATGCAAAAAGCACAGGCTGCATATAGCATGGACTGTTTTACATAAACACACATTTGGTTCAGCTTTGGTATAGGGATTACCGAAAGAATGCTCGGGGAGGACAAGCTATAAAGCAGTTAGAAAGATCTGACAGTTGCTGAATGAATTACCCCCAAACTGGTGCATCTCACTGCAAAGAAGTGTGAAGGGCTCTCTGCAGCAGCGAGCGAGGAAGGGGTCTTGGGGAAATGGTTCTGCTCGAGGTTCTTGCAAAGAGACTGCGCTTCTTTGCAAGTTTAATGGAGACTCCCTGAGGACTTCCTTTTTGTGCAGGGGGGTTGGTTCAGCAGTGTCCTCACCGTGCTAATACCTTGTGCCAACGTGAGAGTAGTGACTAGAAAAATAAACGCAATCACCTAACAGGGAAGCTGAGTGAATGCAAGTGAGGCCAGAATATTTCCAGTGGCTCCAGCATCTTTTTGGGAAGAGCTTGTGAGAGGCATGGATGGATCCAGCTTGTACAGATGAGAAAGGATTGTCCTGCAGAGTAGCTACAACTTCAGATGCTTAAATGTCATGCTATGAAGTTTAGATAAATTATCCAGATGAGTTTGTGGATGAGGGTGCAAACCCAGATCACTTCTGAACATTGCAATTCACCTGTGACTTGCAGCAGGCTTTTATTTATTTATTTTTTTAATTTTATTTTCCCCAAGAAACTTAACCCTTCCCTGTTTCCTGCTCTGAGAAATGGGTGCAAACATTAAACCTCTTAAGGATACTGTTCGGTTTAATTAATCGGTGTTCATAAAGTCATTGAGTTAACAGTACGGAGTGTAAGTGCCAAGTATTACTGGTACTGTGAACAAATGCACAATAGCAAATGAATATAAGCACACTGCAAAGGAGGAATGTCATTAAGGAAAGAGGTCCCATTTCAAGCTGCCAAATACAAAGGAGTGAGTCATTTATTTTCAGTATGAAAAACATTTCAATGTTGTTCTTTAAGTGATTCTGCTTATGATCATTACTCCTTAGCTAACTGCTATAAATAATCCCAAGTGGTGACATGGTCTTCTATTCCCACCTAGATACGCAGAAAATGAAGACTGCAAAATAGGAAAATAAAAATAGTTTGGAAAAGGCACGTCTGGCTTGCCACGTGCTAAATACAGTCTTTGTCTTATGCACAGTTTTGCCTTTCTTTTGCTCCTGCAGACATCTCTGCGTGTACGGGACTGCAGTGCCCCACGCTTCGCCATTACGGTCAGGACCAAGATTTATGAGTTGATAACTGTCTAAATGCTGGATCGCAAAGTATCATTTTTGTTCTCTCCTGACCTTAGCTGTGACCTGTGGGATTGCAGGCAGAGGGAAACGTGTGATTTCTGTACGGGCAGGCAAGGTAATGCAATCTGCTGGCGCTGCTAAAGCACAGCTCCACGTTCCTGCGGGAGTGAGTGCATTGAATTGGCCGCAAAAGAGTTGCAAAGGGTACAAAACACGGTAGGAGTTTCTCTCAGAGACTGTCAGGTGGTGCCCTGGCTCCCTTGGATATGCTCGGTGCACCCATCCCGAGGTGACAAAGGAGCACTTTGTGAGTTGGCTGTTGGGTTAGCTGTACATGATATTCTGGCTATTTCTTGGCGTAGCTGTGATCTGCAGCAAAGCTGTAGAAATTTATGGTACCCGAGGCTTTGGAGCAAAATAGGTATGTGCCACATTTCGGATCAAATACACCTGCTTATTTTATTCCTTACAATGACATTTGCTGTCCACATCGTGCACAGACAAGCTGGTCTCTTCCCTCGTGAGCTGCCTCAAAGTAAGCGGCTGTCTGCTCCCTGCAACAGAAAGCCTTGTGCATGGAAGTGCCACCACCCAAACAGAGCTGGGGCTCAGTTTCCATGCAGATGAATGCCAGCAACTATATGAAGAGGAACCCAAGTGCTTAGGCGTGAGGATCTGCAGAGGGCTCGGCGTGTTCAGATGCAGGTTTGCCGAGTTCACCCCTGTGAAGTTTCAGCAAAGAGCCTAAAACCCAGTGCAACGCTGAGCCCTGAGGTTTGGCAGAGCTGTGCTACTTCAGAGGCACGCTGACATGGATTATTGACTTATTTTGATGCTCTGAAGAAGAATCCCCTTCTTCCAAACACCTCAACCAAGAGACACTCGTTTAAACTGGAGTGGCAGTGGGGCAGATCAGACTCAAATCCTCTGCAGTGGTTGGGCTTTGCTCACCCTTGGGCATCGCTCTGAGGGCAAAGAAAAAGTTTCCTGCTCTTAGGAAGGCCGAGACAATGATCGTGTCCTTGGAAAGCACAAGGCAGGGATGGGATTCCTGCACTGTCACTGCCGACACCTTTAATGCACGTACAAAGAGAAGTTCTGGTCTCCGGCTCTGTCACTCAAAGGCGTATTTGCAGAGCCGTGTTTATTACAAAATAATTATAACTGCAAATTAGGAATGGGGGTGTGCTAGCACCTCCTTCCATCTCTCTCATATGCATCTAAAGTAAAATTAGCGTGGTGAAACTATTGTAACCTCCTGTTATAGGTTCAAGGCAGAACTGAAACTGAGATACTCAATTAGCTAGGCGCAAACACCGTGCATGTTGGCTTTGCTGCCCATTTTCCAACCCCAGCAAGCCTATTTTCTGCACCGAACAGCCCAGCATACTTGAAACAACTTTAAATACATGTAGAACTCAAACAAGGCACAACTGATCTTATTCACACCAGGCTGTTGTTACGTGGCTTTGGGGCCTGTGGAGCACCTTGTCCTCAACTCTTCCCTACAGTGATGCTGGTCCTGGGAGAGGAGGGTGGTCAGGGTGATACCCGCACGGACTGATGGCCATCCCCATTGCCCTCTACTGGTACTGAGCACTGGTGTGGTTCAGGGACTGGTGTGTGGCTTGCGAGGGGAACAACAGCTAGCTGAAGTTCATTGAATTGGGTTTGCTACGGTTATGTTTGTTACCGGGAGGATATTTATTTTATCAGCAAGTTTATCAGGAAGGATCTCTCATTGCAGCAGGTTCTCAGCCAGGGCACAGTCACAGCCTAACGAATTAACCTAACCTACCCATACAGACCATGATCACTTTGTAGAGAAGTTATTTTCCAGATTTCAGTGTGCTTTGCTGTAATTTAAAGGTATTTCATAGCAGTGTTTTTTTTTTTTTTTTTTTTTTTTAAGAGACTGGTTTACAAAGCTCTGAGAAGTCCTTTAGGACATTCAGCTAAGCTGTAAAAGTGAGGGTTTAAAATCAGTGCAGGAAAATGTTTCCTAAGGCAGTTTATGAGTCGGTCCGAGTGAGAGCCACAGTACTGGGACACACTCAGAGCCCAGATCCATAACGTCTGGGTCAAGAGCCTGACTGAGGTCTTGGAGATACCAATTCCACATATGTGGCAACCCCTTCCTCCCCTTTTTTAAGGATCAAGCTTTTCAACAAGGAGAGGGAGAAGTGTTGAATGAAAAACGTTCCTGTCAGGGTATGTTTTCCTACTGGAAATATTTTACTGACTGCTTCAAGGGAATAAATGCACAAAATATAACTACATTAGAAAAAAAGATTGTTATGCATGCATATGTTTTACAGTTCATGCAGTGTGTTTTATGTTACATGTGACTTGAGCTGGTTAGGGTTTAGGAAACTCTTGAGAAAGGAAATGATCTTGACATTTGCAATTTATTTGTTCAACAGATCCAGAAACTCAAGGTTAAAAAAATTAGATTTGCCTAAGTATACGACGGCGTAAAACTGGAATAAAATACTAAATAAATAATTGGGACATATACGACATAAATATATTAAAACTAAATAAAAATTATAAAGAATATTTTGAAAGAAAGAAAATGCAAGGCTATGCAGCACATTATGTAGCACGCATATGCATGGGCTTTAAGTGTAGTCCTGAGGGCGATGCATGTGTGTTCTTGGTTTGCCACTGCAGAATTCACCAGGAGAGCACAGACCTAACCACAAACCTTTGGAAAAGGTTTCAGCAGGGTACAAAGGGATTAGGTTGTAGGAATTTTAGAAACCATAGCTATGGATGTTCTTGTGCACATTTCTGACTTGGTTATTGTGAATTAAGACAGCCAAGACCTACGTATTTCAAACCACTGCAAACTGGGAATTTTACCTTCAGCTCCCTGTAATGTCATCAATGACATCCTTAACACAGGTATCTCAGTGTAAATCTATGTTTTAGGGACTTGTGGGTCATCATATGGTCAGCGAAGTGTTTCATCCTGTGGTTAATCCTGGGGATGCCATGCTCTGTTTGCCTTGAGGCTTGTTTCAAGGTCTTGATTAACACCAGCGCTCCATGCCTAGTTAAGCTGGCAGAGGCCCGTTGTGCAGCCAACGTGGGTTTCCTGTCCCCCGTGCTCTCCAGATGGTGCTTTGCACTCCCTCCCCCTGTGC